CCATTTCAATCTTTAAATTCAACAGATAATGATAATAGCCAAATTTCTTCAGATGATAAATAGTAACCATTTGCATTTGAAATTAATGTATATTGATGCATATGAGTTTCTAAAATCTTAATAATTTTAGATCATAGAGTTAAAGAACAAAAAATAAAATTATTTTTAGTTTTTTTATTATTTGTTTTTGGTGGTAATGTTGGATAAAAATTTATATTAATAAAATTAAATATTTTATATACTGAATTTGAATTATAAGTTATTGTTTTGAGTTGTATATTGTCAAAAAGATGTTTTTTTAATGCTTTTTTAATATGCTAAAGGCATAATTGCATTTTGACATATAGCCAAATTTGTTGTACAACTAAGATTTGGGAAAAATTCTTGTCTATTAAAAAAAACTCAATATCTTTCAATTCTAAATCATACAATATTTTAAAAAATAAAGTTAAGATTTTAGTAAGCACACTATCACCTTTATTTTTTCCTTCTATAAATAAATAGATTATTACAAAATCTGCATCATTATACTGTCCAATAATAGCATAAAATTCATATCCAAGAATATTTGTCTTATAGGTTGCATCAATTATAATCTCTTGACTTTTAATTATCTTAAAAAATAATGTTATGAAACTAAAAAATTTAATTTCATCTTTAGAATTACATAATAACATTTGATATTCATATTTGTTTAAGAGAATTTCTGCTGAAATTAATTAATCTATACTATTTTTGATATATTTCTGTTTAATTAATATTGATTACCAAACATGTACTTGTTTTTGTATCAAATTAGGATTATCATATTCTAAAATTCGATAAATATCACTTGAAGCAAGATGTATATTTTTTTGAATTTTCTTTTTAATATTTTCATTTACACCAAACTGTTCAGGTCATTTGTGAATTATAGAATGCTGAAGATGGATTGATGCAATTTTTAGTTCTATATTAATAATAATTTTAACTAATCCATTGCAATTAAATTACTCAATTAGTATTTAGTCTTTTTGCTTTTCAATGAATTCATGCTTTCTAGCTCTTTTTGCAAGAGTTTGATGTTAAGAACAATTATACCTGAAGGTTGAGACATCAGATGTTCTTTTTGAATTATAAGAATTTTTGAATATATAATAATATCTATCACTTTCACCTATTAACTCAGCAATTGTTTTGGATAATATTTTAGATTGCTATCCATTGTATCAATTAAGAGTTCACATTTAAAATCTATATCTAACAAATCATTTTCTAAATATTCATTTGTATTTAGTGTTAAAATTTTCTCATATAATTGTTTTGACATTTCTTTTAATGTTAAAGGTTCAGTTTCATAGGGTTCAGTTTTATAAGGTTCAGTTTTGTTACTTGATTGATTAGAACATTTGTATTGTAAAGAACTATGATGATATTTATTGCAAGTTTTATGATCTTTAATGAAGTTATTTGAAGATAGATGTTTTCAGCATCTTGAACATTTAGATAAGCTTTTATTAATGGTATCCATATTGTAAGAGAAGATAAAAATACTTTCATAATAAT